ACGCCGCCAGTTATATGGAAAGAGCGGGAACTAATTTAAAGGCAATTTATACAAATATGGTTCACATTTCATGTGTAGTTCATGTTTTAGATCGAGTTTGTCGCAATTTTAACTCCCGATTTTATTCCCGAATTTGACTGTTTTATGCTCCCGATTCCCGCCCGAATTTGGGTGTTTTTATTCTCGAAAAATAGAGACTCTACTTATAAAGTTTATTTGAGATGGGTGTTACAAACTCGCCAAAGCAATTACACATTTTGCCTTTTAATTTGTTAAAAAATTTTCAGTTATAATAATAGATAATTATGAATAAATATATAATAAATGTTATTAAGCTGTTCAGTAATTTTTAATAATTTACTTTTATAATAACTCTTCAATTTATTAAATGTTTCTACAATATACTTTTATAAATTAAACTTTTAATTAATTACTGCAGTTAACATACTGTAGATGTCTCATAATTTACACGATAGTCAGCAAAGGATTACATGCTATAAAATAAAAACAACCATAATTAGTAAATATACAAATCAAACATAATAAAAATAGGTCACTAAAAATAAGAACAGCTTATTGTAATAATACATACATGTAATAACAATATTAATATGATTTATAAATAAGTAAATACATCATGTTAAAGTGTAAAATCATCTCGGACAAATTGACTTACGTGTTTTAAACCTTCTGAGACCGCAGCTCACGTCCTGACAGTACGTACACACGTGTGTCTCGGCGTCAAAGGCCTGATTGGCCGGACATGTGGACAGATGGTGTACTCCTTCCCAGCAGTTATAGTACAGTTCACAATAGATAGGGTGCGCAAATTGGCCGGTCGGCTGCGGACACTTGTCGTTGGCTATTACACAACATACCACTGACGCTATAACTAATAGTATCAGACCATTCATAATCGATAGCTAATATCAAAGTAGTTAACGAGTTTGTCATTTACTGATCCTAATTAAACTTTTAATGTGCAATTGTGTATAAGGCTTATGTATTTATACCTAGCTAATCTATTGATCTGTTAATCTAAAAATATGTATTAACTAGGTCTAATTAATAATTATATGGTAAAATTCACATATAATACATTTTATTAATCAAATATTTAGTTAATAGCATTGCCTTGTTATTATGTGATTAGATATTATCTGATTATATTATTTGATTAAATAATATACTGTACAATTAATATAATGAGGTGATTTATGAAAAATAATGAGTTTATTGCATAATATTATTTAACAATAAGAGTATATTGTTACTAGAATTTGAATAAAATTAATTACATAATAAAACTGCAACAACATGTAAATTTACTACAACATTAATTTCTGAGGCATATTTTTACTTTTATTTTTAGATTAATTTCAGTTACATAACTGTTATATAATATAACTTCGTTATGTAATAGTTATTGACTAAATAATTTATTTGAATAAAACCATGGTCATTCAACTTAGACCATGGGTAATTCAAAAACTACCATCGTAACTTTATAACGTTTTTATACATAGATATTTCAAAAAAATAAAATTTATTTTTATTAAAATACAAAATAGCAATTTCAATTATACATCGGTCATCATTATCGCTATTAATTATATTTTTAATAGTTTTACAAATAGTTGCTCTGTAAGTCAAAAAAGTGAGTGGTTTAGAATTTTAATATTAGTTTATATGTGATTTAATTTATGTGAACTACTGTTAAATTCATTTCTAGTATTTGATAGCACTTGATATAAAAATACAAGAGGAATAAATTCTCAAGCTAATTTCATAAGTTGAAATAGATATTAATGTTCTCATTTTATGATATAAATGAATTAAAGTTAAATAAATGAAACAAAATTAATTATTTTATCAAATAAATAATAGCAATTAAGCATGTTTATTTTATAAATATATATTGTTTACAATTAATTATCAGTTGAGTATTTTTATTATATAAGTCATGGTTAACATTTTGTTAAACACTTGGTTATTTCTCACATTATTTTACATGCTAAAATAATTGTTATTAGTTATAATAAATAAACATTTAAATATATTTACTTAATAAAGAAATACGTATGTTAAACAAAGGGAGATTAAAATAAAACTTAAAATTTATCCTGAGTTTTATGATATATTTATACTCTATATAACTATATTTATATATTATAAATCTACAAGAATATATATAAATCTACAAGATTAAAATTACTTTAGAATACAGCAATTATAGAGTTCTCCAATAAAATATGTTATATGTTTAATGTTATTTAACATCTAAATATAGTTTTACAACAAATTATTTGTTAATTGTTATATAACATGATTAAGTGAATAGGATATACATGTGTGCCTTGACAAATATAAATGATTAGTTTATGGTTGTTTAGGAAACTGGCCAATTTAAGTCTGGGTACGAGTGCGTTGGTTACGAAACGTATATGTATTGAAAGTGAATCGACATGTAATACCTGGGCATTTACGTTTCATAATTGAGCATAAAATAGCCTAAAAATATAAAAAACATAAACAATTAGTTATTTAATTGGTAACATGATTTATAACTTAAGATATTATGCATTATGTTATGTATTTGATATTGAATATTGCAATATTAATTACCCGAAAATTTTTGCTCATGAAACAGTATACGATTGGATTGACAAAACTGTGGGCTGTATTAATTAAAATTCACTATTTAGTTACATAAAATGATAGTTATTTAATTTAAAAGATAATTATTATACCCATGGACAAAAAGTGGCACGCTAAGTACGACCAGATATACGTTCTATACTGAAGCTTGGTCTGCACCTTGGTGATGTCGGGATAAAACCAAACCAGTAGGTTAAATATGTGAATTGGAAGCCAACACAATGCAAATAAAAACACGATCATGGTCAACAGTTTGATAACCTATTTTATAATAATGACATTGAGAAATTTAGTTAATCAAAAATATATTAGGACAATTTTGTTTCAAAGGTCAATATGTTATTAGAATATATAATACTAGACATGACAACAATTCAAACACCACTATTTCTAATAAATTACTTATTATGACATTCTAAACAAAATATTTATTATATGTCGGCATTTGTTAAGACACTGAATATTTTGTACGAAAATATGTTGTTTATAGAAACATATTACTTACTAAAATATATATTATATAAGTAAGAATTTTATGTATGATATGTCGTTACTCTTAAAAGCACTTTATTGTGAAAAAGAATTCTCGGAGAATAAAAAATAATATTTTTAATAACGTTTTTAATATACAGGAGATAATAGTTAGCAAAATTCTAATAAAGTAATAATTTAATAAAAGTGCGTAACTGTAGAGAGAGAGAGAGAGAGAGAGAGAGAGAGAGAGACTTTTGGTTAACTTAAAATTCAGTGAATGTAACGCTTTTTCTATACAATCTCTGTAACTGACGAATCAGTGATGAATACGAATGAATTTATCTCTTATTCTTGTGTTTATTATTATTGTTTAGATATATTTTCTGTGAATAAAATTCACAAAAACATCAGAGAATAAAATATAAGCGAAATATCTTTATTGAGTGGGAGAGAGAGAGA